CTGGGCTCGGGGGATAGTGTGGGCCCGCCCACCCGCCGGGAGCTCAGCAGTTCTCCAAGTGCAACCGGGATGGGGAGGCAGATGTAGAGGCCTCAAACCCACCTCTCCCCTTCACTGCACCTGGGAGCCTGGAGGGACCCAAGCAGTCTGGCCCTCCTTTCTTTCTTTCTGTCTTTCTTTCTTTCTTTCTTTCTTTCTTTCTTTCTTTCCTTCTTTCTCTCTCTCTCTTTCTCTCTTTCCTTCTTTCCTTCCTCCCTTCCTTCCTTCCTTCCTTCCTTCTGTTTCTTCCCTCACACATTCCCTCTTTTTGGCCTCATCCCAGGAGCCCTAGAGCTCCACCTGCTTCCTTGCCTCAGAGACTCAGTATCCAGTTCTCACCAGGTCAGTCCTTTATGTCATAGTGGGATTCTTGCTCTCTCCATATAGATTCTGGCTCGCTCTCGCTCTCTCTTGCTTTCACTCTCACTCTCACTCTGTCCCTGTCTCTCAGTGATCTTCCATTTCTGTTTGAGACAGGATCTCACTAAGTTGTTAATTCTTTGCTGCATGTGTGAATCCTTTGTGAAGTGAGAGATAAAGAGAACAGATATAAAACAAATGCAAATAAAATTCTAATACATTTGATAAAGAAGCAATGTAGCTGCAAGATCTGTACTCTTCTTCTAAAAGCCTTAAAGTTAAATTGGTATACTGAAGTTCAATTATATGTCACTCTTAAAGGACAATTTAAGTGAATTTCAGTATTTTAAAGGACTTTCAAAAAAATGTAAAGTTCTCAAAAATCTGTTGGATGTGTTGAAATTCTATTTAGTTACTTTAGAAAAACTACTTATATAAACATCAGGCCTACTTCCATTGCTGTGACCAAATACCTGAGAAAACCAACTTAAAAGAGGAACAGGTTATTGACCTCCAGTTTCAGAGGTTTTAATCGGTTAGTACTCTCATGATTCAGTTACCTCTCTAGATCCCACCTCTGTACTATGCTGCATTGGTGATCATGCCATCAATACCCAAGTTTGGGGAAAGAATTCATATTTAAACAATAAGATAGTACTAAATGATAGTAATGAATTCCTTTAAAAATTAAAGCTCATTTCTAAATTTTTAGGCTGTAATGTGCTAGCATATATAAAATTACAAATATTAGCAAATAATATAATTTAAAATACTCAAGAAAATAAAATGATAGTCAAGGGACTGATAGAAAACTGATATTTAAGTTTGAAGAACTAAAGAAACTTATCCACATGTGTAACTTGAAGAACATGGTTCTCAAGAAGTCTTCAAACAACAAAAATAACTAAAACATCAATTGTAAATGGTAGCCATTATGATTTCAAAAAAGGGATTATATCAATGTTCTTTAGACAAAAGAGTATAACACTCTCTATATTTTGTCTTATAAAAAGTTTCTAACCAGTCATGATGAGGTAATTGTATTTGCAATTATAAAAAATACTGAAGTTAATGGTATCTATTGAAGAGTACTTTAACCATAGAATCAGTGCACCTCAGATTGCATAAGGTCTGATGGGGAAAATACCTCTAATTTTTCCAAAAGTAAACTGTATGAAAATAGAAGAAATGATGATAGGAGACTTCTGTATTAAAATAAAAAGGCACAAAGTGAGAAAAAAATTACCCTACCTTACACTATATACCTGAGTTTATGTGTCTGTACATATACATCTCTGTGTATATATTCATAATTACTAAAGCTATGAAAAGAAATTACCAAAACAGTCTTCAGAAGCTAGAGATAATTTAAAACCCAAGACAATTTTCCCATACATCACTTTTAATTTTCCAGATTGGTACAGGTACACATGAATTTTATCCATCCATATGCAAGCAAAAATATTAACATCTTATACAGAAATTTTCACCTTTTGAATTAAACAAGGCCACTGTCATTCAAGACAATATCATGTTCCTTAAATAAAGGTGTCTAGAGTTCACACCCAGAACAATATAAAGTAACACTCATTGAACACAACTGTATATTTATATGATTTTCTTTCTTTGTTCCTAAAACAGCTGTATGGTGTTGGTACCATAATATCCTTTCACAGATGTAAGGACTAAGACTTAGGGTTAGGGTTAGGGTTAGGGTTAAGGTTATATAACCTGCTCCTGTTTGCACCAATAGTAAGAATGTTATTAAGCACTCATGAAGATATCAGAGTGTATGAATTTTATTACCTCATGGTGGACCCAGGTTCTGCAGAGACTAAAACTTATAGCCTTTGGGAACTTCTTCAAGAAAATAGTTAAAATTATTAATAAAAGATTGCTAGGCTTAGTCTAGGGCCTTAAAGGAAGACTATGCAAAGAAAATGATGCAAAATTTAAGTTTAATTAGCTTATTGGTAAGCCCACTATTATCAAATTGCATAATATTTTAAAAGCTTCAAATATCTTTAGAAACAAACATTATGTACAACTCTTACTGTCACTATATATCTCTCACTTACCTTCATATTTCCATTTATATTTTATCTTTAATCTCTGATTTAAAATATTTTTCCCAAAATTAAATAATTCTACTTAATTTTACAAGGCATTTTAAAATTGTCTTTTTATAGCTTTAAAATACTCATTTGTTTAGTATTGTCAAGTGTTATTACTCCCCAAATGGACAAAAGAAGATAAAATTGCTTATTAACATAATATTCTTGTATATCTTCCATGTCTCTACATTCCCATAGTTTTGTGAATAGAAATAGTGCAGACCATTGAAAACTATTTCTGGCCTGCTGTGTTTATGGTAGCTGATTTCTAGCATGCTTCTGAAAATATCTTTTCTACCTTTCGATACTCTCATGATAAATGGCACAATTTCTGTTTGTAAGGCCATGTCATATTGTTTACCCCAAGTAAAGGGTAGTCAACTACTTGTCAAGGAGACATAGTGATAAAGCCATCCACCATAGTTCATATTTAAGATTGTTGAGTTCATATAGTATGAACAAAATGTTCTCATCTTGAATGTAGAGTGCTTGTGCTGATCCAGCAGGAGATGGAAGGTAGTTCTCTTTGGATATAGAAGTTTTCCAGATATTAGCAGACTCGGTTTCATTATTGACTTCCCTGGTGTAGTTTTATGCTGATCAGGTACACCTTTGAACATTTTTCACAAATATTCTTGAGTTTTAGAATTCTCCACAGATGCACCCATACTTGATGGGATGCCTTTCAAAAGACATCACAGTTTTATATTGCAAAAAAGAAAAAGAAACCTTCATTTTTGAAGGTACTTCTTAAATGAATGAAGATATTTCATGAAATGATTAGAGTATTACTAAAGCACCGGCTAAAGGATATGACATATTGTATCTAAGAATATTTTAGCATTTAACCTCAGTCAAGAGAAAGTTCAGAAATACAACCTAAGCATATTCATTTGTATCACTGTTTCAAATATAACTGTGATGTTATTTTGCTTGTATGAATACACTTTATCCTTCTGTGAATACTGTGAATTCAGTAATTTAAAGGAAATTTTTTTGTACTAGAGATTGAACTCACAGCCAGCACTTGCCCAGCAGGCATTTATGCCACTGAGCTAAATGCCTGGCCCCATCATCAGTAATTTCAAAACTGCCTGCAATTTAAACACAATATCCTGTGCTTTAAACTGAATTCGCTTCTTTAACTGTTTAATACATTAATGAAAACTACATACTGATTAAAATACATTCACTTTACAATGTGAGCTAAAAGTTAGCTAAGACTTTCTTTTTCTGAATTTATTTCTCGTGATACTTAATGTGATAAAATTATTGGCTTTTTTCATTTGCTCAATAATTGCAGTAAAGAACAGCATTTTGACATTTATTAAATACTATGGTCGAAACCTATCTTTCCTTTTGTAGGTACAAGATGAATAATATATTTAACAATATTTTATGAACCTCACTTAGTGATGTTTTTGTGTTTGTCATCATTTTATAAAGATGCTTTGCTTTGCAAAGTTACCAAAAGAATTACAGCAGCTTTATGGCTTTTAATACTTCCAACCTGAAGAACTATCACCAGGTAGTAGTGATACTTTGTGTATCTGAAAGCTAATATTCAAAACAGTAACCAAAGATAATTATATACAAAAATATACTCATACCATTGACAATGAGTTACTAAACACAAATTTAGTTTTATTCAAACATCAAAAAAGTCTTTAACCAAAAATGTGAAGCAATACAACACTTTAAAATTAAAGTACATTTCCCATAAATTCAATTATTATATTAAATTTTATTTATTAATTCAATTCTAATACTTATATGAAACACAGTGCTCTGCTTTGTAAGTCAATTCATAATATGTTCGGGCTTACAGAATTCTTTGGCTTCTGATTTACATTCTGCATTCGGAAGGCAGTGTGGCAGAAGCATTCCTCTGCTCATTAGCTAAAAGTGATTGTACACCGTTCTCTCTGTAACCATTCTGTTTCTCTTCATCTTTCACAATGAAATACCTAGGGTTTTATTTTAAAAAGAAATGACAAATTGCTTTAAATGTTAAGCAGAAGTGGCTTAAGGATGTGTATACAAAAGCATTATCCTTGTCAGCAGAAGTTAATTTCCTACAGTATTTTGTGAATCTTAAGAAGTATAGAACTCGTGACAACTTATCAAGCTTTAGAGGAAACAGTCTGAGTAACTCAGTTGCTAATTATTATGTATATATGTATATAATTATTATCTTATAGTTTCCCTTTAATCTGAACCTGGCCTTTCCATTTTTTTCTCTTTTCCAGTGAACTGATCATTTATATTGATTGCTTTAACTGAATAATTGTTCCCAATATTTTATAGACAGTCTGATTCTGGATGAAATTATTTCAATTAATTTGCTTTCCCATAATTTCTAATGTATATTTAAAATACGCATAAATGTTTAAAATGTAATTGACAGTGAACACCTACAAATTTTTGACAGTTACAATTTGATAAGAAGCTCAGAAACAGGAGCTGAGCACGGTATCGTGACCAATGTCAGGTGTCAGAAAAACTGTGATAATTACTGTCTAGGAAATGGAATATAATGAAGAGGACTTGCCTTGTTGGAACTAGAAACTCATTCTTCAGTTTCTTTACTTCTTGATTTTTCAAAGTGTAAATTATTGGATTCAGAATAGGAGTAAAGATGGTATAAAACATAGAATCTTTTCTATTAGAAAGCTGTTTTGTGGCAACATATAGATGAAGATGCATGGCCCAAAGAGCATGAAGACAACAATGAAATGAGCTGTACATGTAGAAAATGCCTTAGATCATCCTCCAAATAAATGATGCTTGAACAAGGACAATAACATGAGTTAAATAAGAGAATAAAGCACAATAACGCAATTATACCACTTGTCAAGATCATAAAGAGCCCCAGAATGTAAGTATCCACACAGGCCAGCTGGAACACCACAGGAAGGTCGCAAAAAAAAAAAAAAAAAAAAAAACTATCTTGTTCGGACCACAGAACGGCAATGTGAGGGCAAGTATGACCTGGTTCATTGAATGCATGATTCCCACAACCCAGGAAGCCACCACATGGACAACACACACCTGGGCACTAATGACTGAAGTGTAGCGAAGGGGCTTACAAATTGCAATATATCTATCCAAGGACATAACCATTAGCAAAATAATCTCAGTACCAGTGAAAAGATGTAGCAAGAACGTCTGAGTGATACAGCCATTGAAAGAGATGGTTTTGTGACCTGTTAGGTAGTCTGTAACCATTTTGGGAGTAGCAAAGGAAGCAAGGGACATATCAATGATGGAGAGGTTAGAAAGCAGAAAGTACATAGGAGGGTATAGGTGAGAATCAGCTAGAATGTGATGATTATGAGGCTATTACCCACCACTATTGCCACATAAAACAATGAAAACACCATAAAGTAAAACATTTGTAGTTCCCAGGATTTACAGAGCCCCAGAAAAACAAATTCAGACACAATAGACTTACTGCCCATATCTATTGTCATCATTCATAGGTAGAAGCCTGAAAGGAAAAGAAAAATTAAGTTTAAGTATGGATAAATTGAAACATAAACTCTACTTCCAAGAATCTACTTTCACATACTTGGTTTCTTCTTGAATATTTATCCTTACTCTTTTTTTTAAATCCTTCTCATTTCTTATATAGGTTTAATGTACAGAATAATAGAGAGATCACAACATATCCTTTAAATCATATTTATAGAAAAAATACCTTTCTGGCATTAAATGGCATTCAAATGAGAATAACATTATGAAATGACCTACCTAGATATTTATCTTTCCATTCTTCTATAGAATCCTAAGGATAAGAGTTAATATTTAGTGAGCACTTATTTTAAGGCGGCAAAATGTGAAACACAAACATGTGTACACACATGTTCAGTTATTTAGAATTAATCCAGCTGGGATTGGTGCATGCCTGTAATCCCAGCACTCACAAGGTTGAGGCAGGAAGATTGTTGCAAGTTTGAAACCAGCCTGAGTTACAAAGTAAGCTCAAGTCAAGCCTGATATGCATAGTTGCATAGTGAGATCCTGCCTAAAGGGAAAAAAAGAATTCACCCACAAAGCTAACCTAGATGTAAAGGAATATAATAGTTACCTCACATATAAAAGCCATTAAGAAACATTACAGTGAGTCCTCAAACTACAGTTGTAAAAAAGTTGCACATTACTAAGAAAAGCTGTTAACACAGTTACAGATAAAAAGTCTCCCAACTGAAACCCAGCAGAAACAAGCAGAAAATTTGTTTTTCAAATGAGTATGGAAACTTTGTTAAGATTATTAAAATACAGTTTTGCAGCCAAAGAAAAACATTTATTTTAACTTTTATTGATGACAATTTTCTTTACGTTAAAATATGAGTCTCCTACCAATATTAGTAACTTTACAAATTTAAGTTCTGCCCTTGCTTCTTAAAGAAAAAAAAACATATCACACACACACACACACACACACACACACACACACACACATAAAATCTCAAAGAGAAAATTAATCTTTTCCATACTACTTCCTTGAATCCTTCTCTAGTATCTGTCAATATATGTAACACTGTTTTATTAAACTCTGCTCCACGGCCTAAGGATTAGATGGTGGAAGAGGAAAGGGCAAGCACTTAAAGTATTTCAGTGGAAATCAGTTATAAAACACCTTTACTTACCAGGTCTAGAGGAGACTCGGGTCTTTAGGTTACTCAGTTTAAGTAGTCTTCTTATAGAAACCTGGACAGATATTTTTAAATTGAAGTGACCCAGCTGAATCATGAGTCCTTCAGCAGATGTAGATAAAATGGTTGTTGCAGAGACTTGGGAACTGAACAAGAATAATCCTGCACTGGGAGTTATTAAGCAAAAAGAAGATATCAATGAGTTCACAGAGGGAAGCTAGCATAAGGGAATTTACAGTGTTTATTTTCTCCTGGACATAAAGACTGGAAATGGAAATTGGAGAAATCATCATTTCAAAAGGTGACTGAAAATGCCAAGTGAACTTATTTTTAAAAACACGATTGTTTATCTAACCCTGTACTGCCAACAGTAGAGATTGAAATCCAAAATATTTATCTCTGTTTCAAAAAGTTTCAGGTTAGTTGGAGATATTGCATACCCATAAATAAAACAATTGGTGAAGAATATAATCAAATAAATCTGGTGTGTAAGTATTCAGAGACCATGAGTGAATTGAACTTTCTTAAACAAAAAATACCTCTATGCTAAATAAACCCAGAAAGTGTACTTGCAGGAGAATTGTCACAGACCTGTCATCCAATGTAAACTTTGTAAATTTTGAGGAAAAAAATGGCAAGTTATTTTCAAGAAAGCAAAATATTCAATTAGAGTTGTCAAAAGAGAAGGAATATTCTAGAATACTTAAAATTGTATAAAAGACAGCAAGAGACAGTTGCAAGTTTTGGAGATCTTTTATTTGCCTTGTTTTTTCATGTTCCTGTGTGTATTTCTGTATATATATATATATATATATATATATATATAATATATATATATATATATTCTTTTTCTTTTGTAATGAGGCTTAAATTTCAGAAGAGTGAGGAGAGATCATTATTGACTTGAAAATCTCTTTGGTTAAAATCAGTTTTTCAGTAATGATTATGACTTTGTTTAAGGATTTTATTCATTCCCAGAACTTTTTCTATTTAATTAAGTTGGACTCTGTGACTCTGCTTTAAAAAGTCAATTTGTTTTAGCTATAACAAATGTCAAAAACCCCAAGCATACATCAGTCATAAAGATTAAAACTTGTTTTGATAGTTCACTCTTTGTGTACACCCCTTACAAACTGGATTGTGTGAGGTGTGTGAACAATAAGAGGAAGGGTAAAAAAAAGGACAATATTAGGAGAAAGAGAAAAGATAAGAGATATGTCAAAACAAGAATATGTTGGAAACTGCTAGAGTTATTTTACCTGGGGTAAAAACTTGGTGTGGATGGGGCTTGGACCATATTCATATAGTCAACAGGATGCATACAAATAAATGACAGTGTATTTAGCAAATTAAGGAGACAGTGAAATTGCTTGTGCCTGTTAATATGTTTGATGGTAATTTTGTTTAGTTTCCATTTATTCAAATTTATTGAGGATTCTACTGACATGCCCTTATGTGATACTGTTCAATTGATAGCACTGATTAATAATTATTCACATGCACTTGTACAGTCTTCTGTTATGCTTATGTCATTAGGCAGATGGAGAAGAGGAAAGAAACCAAGAATGTAAGATACTGGGGGTTACAGAAGGATGCAGAGAAAAGTGGGAAGAGAATTGAGGAATAGGAAGAAAGATATAAAAGAAGAAACAGATTAAAAGAAACCCCTTGAAACTGGAGCATCATAATCATCCAATAGAGATAAAGAAGAAACAAAAGAAGGGTAACAAAAATTTTAAAATGAATAGGAAAAAAAAGAAAAAAGTAAAAGCAGAGACTAGAGACAACAATGAAAACCAACTAGATTAGCCCAAATCCAACAAATTATCAAGATTAAGACAACCACAAATGCCAAAATAACCTTAGAAATAAGAATAAAAATATTTGTTCAGCAGTTATAGCAGTAACCCAGATATTCCAAACCACTTCCTCTTCACTGGTGTCCCTGTCTGGTTTTGATTAGCCACACAATTTCCACCCATAGTGGAGACAAGTGCCAGTGCCTGACTAAGGCCTAAAGGCCTTACCTAAATTGTGTACTGGTTTTGAGCTACAGGAATGCGCCTCCATGGAGACTCTTTTCACTTTTTGTCTTCTTCAGTAATTTCCATCAATGTTTTGTAATTTTTACTGTAGAGACCACACTCTTTCTAAGATATCTTTATCCCTAGGTATTCTATTGTTTGTAGAAGTAGTTATTGTTAGTGAGGCTGTCTTCTTGATTTCTTTTTTTAGCAAGTTAATTGTTGTATTAAATACTATTGAATACATATGATTTTATATCCCACTTTTCTAAATTTTTTTTATTTAAAGAGAAAAAAAGAAAGGACATAAAAAAGCAAAGCAGTAAAAGGATACAAATAATACAGTATTTCAAGAAAAAAATATACAGTAAGAAATCACCAGTTAATAGGTTTCATATTATCTTCCCAGTAACAGTTGTCCAAATTACAAAATTAAAGCATATAAAGTGGACATTCATACAGTGAAATTGGAGACAGTTCCATTCAGTGATCCAACAAAAGCTCAGTAATATGGTTTTCCATCCTACACACTCGAACGTACCTGCAGTTATGTCCCTTAGTCCACCTTCCTTTCCTCTCTTTTTTACAATAACAATTAGATTTTGTGGGTTTTATTACTCCCATGGTTCTTATTACTTTTTTGAAGAGAATAAAACCAAATGTGACTAAGCAAAACAGAGTCAGTTAGAACAGAAGGGTGGTGATACCAGGTGATCAAAAGTGGTTACCATTGTGCCTCTTGCTATTTTTAAATTGAGTTGTCTATATCATCGGGTAAAATAGAATTGATCAAAACAGTACATAACAAGACCAATAAAACCTACACTGAAGACCTTGCAGGACTTCAAAAAAGGATAATAGTCAAATCATAATGGGCATCATAGTATATCTTTATTGCCTTCAAAGTGGTTGCCTATACCCTCAAACTTGATACTATCAAACAAAATAAAATATAGAATAATCAGACAGAACAAGATGGGGAGAGCAATAATGGGGTTCAAATCAGGTTAATAGGAAAACCAAGAAAGTTACTATAATATGTCCCGCTATTTTTAATTTAGTTTTCCCTTAATTAAAAAAATGAGAGAAAATAGATTAATTTTTAAAAGGGGGGAGACTGGGATAAGAGAGGACATTGTAACAGAACAATGCAGGGCAGAACTGAACCATTCAAGCATCACTGTGTTTCACCACCAGATCTGTAGTATATAGATATTTATGTGTTGATGTATTATGTCATCTTCATACAGAAATAATTTGACTTCTTCCTTTCCAATGTGAATGTCTTCCATCATTTATTTGTCTTGCCTATGGGTCTGACTACCAGTACTATGTTGAAAGTCTGTATTCTTGTCTTTCTCTGGTTTTAGAAAAAATATTTTCAGCTCTTCCCACCTCAATATAATGTTGATTTGGGTTTTATCACATACATCTTGTTGCATCAAGGTATGTGCATTCTACGTATGCTTTTTTGAAGATGTTTTTTTGTTGGAGACCACTATGAAGCAGCTCAGAGCAGGATTTAAAACTAACTAATTGGCTCTCTATGTTTATCTGTGAGTCTCTCCTAGGCCTAGGACCCTTGCCTGGTGTTGGGAGCAGATTCATAGTGAACCTCTATGAATTACTGGTACTGGTTGAGGTCTGTAGGGGCCTGTGAGGCCAGAGATACCTCAAACGGCATGATAAGGCCACAGCTGCAGACACTTGGCTCAAACATCAATTAAGTACATAGAGACGACAGCTGCAGAAATTACCCCTACTGTCTCATTCCTACCATGCCAGTGTGAA